TTGGACCAATTAGTGGACTAATCTGTAATGCATCTGAAGCCGAATGAAATTATTTTGAGCAATTCTAATCTAATGCTACTAAAAACTACAATCTGCAATACAAGGACTGAAGAGAAAAGGAAAATAAGTATCATACAGCCTCCACTTCATATCTGAGTAGCTTCTGAGTTATAACCTGTAGGCATGCACCCAGCCTCAAAGTTCTCCAGTCATCGTGGCCCTGAACTACTCTTGCAACCTTCTCACAGGTGGATTTCTGGTCACATGAAAAACATATGGTAATCTAAGATATATCAAATATTAAAAAGCAAGTTGCAGATTATGTATATTCAATCAGTATGTATACTGAACATACACATATTAAATACTAGATATATAGAGTACATTCATGTATACATATGTGTGTACATATAAATGTATTTTAGATTTCATTGAATACACCAAATGCATTACATATACATATATCTGAAAACACCTAAAAAGAAACACAACAAATTATTAGTAGTAATTATTGTCAGAAGTTGTTGATGAATGTGGTTTTTAACTTTTTATTTTATATAACTTTGTGGTAAATTTTTACAGTACAAGTATTTAGGTATTGGGTTATTTTTTTTTAAGATTTTATTTTTTTATATGTCAGAGAGAGAGCACAAGCAGGGGGAGGGGCAGAGGGAGATGGAGAAGCAAGCTCCCCACTGAGCAGGGAGCCCAATGCAGGGCTTGATCCCAGGACCCTGAGATCATGACCTGAGCCAAGGGCAGACACTTAACCGACTGAGCCACCCAGGCACCCCAGGTATTGGGTTACTTTTTAAAACTTCATGTAGAACTAAATAAGACCAAAATGGGCCTGCTTCTACTTCATTAACACCAAAATATAACTTGCCAATTTGCATTGATATATGTTTGAACATAAAATAAGGTCAAGTAAGAAAAAAAAAACTATGGAAAAAAATTCAATACCCTGATTTTAGCCTATCACTTTTAGGCTGAAAAATATTCAGTAAGAATTCTGAAAAGCAGGTAGGAAGTATCTCTGATCTTCCCTCTGTTCTACCTAAGAAAGCCCTGATATATACAAGGGTTCCTATCCTAAGATCCACAGAAAATGGGGTTTTTCTCTGTCTTCAGGGTCTGCTTCTGTCAATGGGCCAAGAGGCAGAAGAAAGAGCTACAGACTTCCGGGTCCCCTCAACTCCTTGGGGCCCATGTCTTGCTCTAGCTAGGTACAGCCCCAGCTGGCAAAACTATGATCCTCATAAAAGCCTCCACAGCCACCTCTGCTTTAGCTCAGGAAGCTGCCAGACTCACTTTCCTTCTCCCATGTTCTTAAGAAAACAAAATATTCAAACAATAAAATATCAAAAGAATACAACAAAACAGGAGACATACATATGCATTAAGCATAACTTATTTAAAAACTTTGGTAAAAATATCAGGAATATATACCAAAGGGCAATGTTAACATCCAGATATCACTCCTCAAGTAATCAAAGAACACTGAAAATCACGTTATACAGAAGAAAAGAAAGAAAACAAATTATGGGAAAATGGAAATTTTTAAGAAGTAAATTTTAAATTTTAGGTTGTCACAAATCATATATAAAAAGGGGCCAACACATATAGTAAGATATATTTTAAAGAAATTATATACAGGGCGCCTGGGTGGCTCAGTTGTTAAGCGTCTGCCTTCGGCTCAGGTTATGATCCCAGGGTCCTGGGATCGAGCCCCGCATCGGGCTCCCTGCTCAGCGGGAAGCCTGCTTCTCCCTCTCCCACACCCCCTGCTTGTGTTCCCTCTCTCGCTATGTCTCTCTGTCAAATAAATGAATAAAATCTTTAAAAGAAAAAGAAAGAAATTATATACTTTGCAAACACAATAAATTCAAATGATAATATCCGGCATTAGTTGGGCTATGGGCAAGGGGCATGCCATACACTATTGAATACAGTAATAACAGAAACTTGCTGGTGATCAGTTTACTCCCAGGTGACAAGATATGGATGTTGTCCCCCTTTATCCACAGTGGATTATGTTCCAAGACCCCCAGGGGATGCCTGAAACTGCAGACAGTACTGAATCCCATATACACTACGTTTTTTTCCTGCGCATACCTACCTACGGTAAAGTTTAACTTATAAATTAGGCTTAGTGAGATTAACAACAATAACTAATAATAAAATAATTATAACAATATACTGTAATAACAGTCACATGAATGTGGTCTCTTGCAAAATATCTTATTGCATGTACTTACCCTTATTGTGATGATGTGATTTGATAAAATGCCTACGTGATGAGAAGTGAGGTGAGTGACTCAGTTGTTAGGCTACTACTGACCTCCTGACAATGTCAGAAGGAGGATCATCTGCTTCTGAACCATGGTTGTTGCCATGGGTAACTGAAACCATAGGAAGCAGAACCACAGATACGGGGGGACTCCTGTAATTCTATTGTTTACAAATACACCAAGAGAAAAAAAATAATTTTTATAAATATGTGAAAGACAAAGCCTAAATGTTTAACAATATCAATTTAAGGATAATTATAATACTACGGAAAAACGCATAGCTACTGAGAATGACAAAGTACAGATAACAATGTACAGTGGAAAAGCAAAACCCCAAATGTTATGTCCCTACTCTTCATGGACTTATAAAAACACATAAGTAAACTGATGAAGTTCTTTACTGCCATTAAAAATAATGACGTACATCTATGCTTTTAGAAATGACAGTACAACAGTGATCTATCACGGGGGAAGCCAAAAGAGGAGAAAATGTATGTGACACTATTATGTAAAAATTTTGTATCTAGGGGCGCCTGGGTGGCTCAGTTGGTTAAGCAACTGCCTTCGGCTCAGGTCATGATCCCAGGGTCCTGGGATCGAGCCCCGCATCAGGCTCCCTGCTCAGCCAGAAGCCTGCTTCTCCCTCTCCCACTCCCACTGCTTGTGTTCCCTCTCACGCTCTCTCTCTCTCTCTCTCTCTGTCAATTAAATAAATAAATAAAAATCTTAAAAAAAAAAAAAAATTTGTATCTAGGTGTTCTTCTGTCCGCAGAGATATATCAGGAAACATGTTCACCAAATTATAAAAGTTTTCTCATCATCTGGGGATGCTTTTTGCAACAAATAAAAACTGTAAAGCTATTTTCAGTTTTGGGAAGAAAAAGGGCAAAAACCTATAACAGCAAAGATCAAAAAAGAATTAGAAATGTTTGAGTCTTAAATATTCTCTCTCTCTCTCTCTCTCACACACACACACACACTAAAATCACCAGGTAGGGACACCTGGGTGGCTCAGTTGGTTAGGCATCCACCTTATGCTCAGGTCATGATCCCAGGTCCTAGGATGGAGCCCCCTGTCCGGCTCCCTGCTCAGCCTCTCCTTCTGCCCTTCCTCCATGCTTGTGTTCTCTCAAATAAATAAATTCTTAAGAAAAAAAAGACACATGAAGCAAAGGTACCACAGAAAAGTTTCCTCCTATAGTCCCACAATTCTAGCAAGCACTTTTTCTGTAAAGGGCAAGACAGTAAATACTTTAAGGCTTTGCAGACCACATGGTCATTACTACTCAACTCCAGCATAAACAAAAGCAGCCACAGACAATATTTAAACGAATGAGCATGGTTGTATTCCAATAAAACTTTATGGACAATGAAGTCTGAATTTTATATAATTTTCACACCATGAAATACTTAAAAAAAATTTTCCAACCATTCAAAAAAATATAAGAACTGAAGACAGTTTGGCAGTTCCTTAAAAAGTTACACATGGAGGGGTGCCTGGGGTGGTCAGTCGGTGAAGCATCTGACTCCTGATTTTGGCTCAGGTCATGATCTCAGGGGTCGTGGGATCAAGCCCTGCGTCAGGCTCTGCACTCAGCATGGAGTCTGCTTGTCCCTCTCCCTGCCCCTGCTTGCATGTACGCGTGTGTGCACTCCCTCTCTCTCAAATGAATAAAATCTTTAAAAAAAAAAAAGTTAAACACGGAGGTACCATATATATGACACAAAAATTCTACTCCTAGGTATACACCCAAGAGAACTGAAAACATGTACTCACACAACAACTTGTACATGAATGTTGATAGCACTGTTATTCATAATATGCAAAAAGTGGAAACAACCCAAATGTCCCTCAACCAGCAAATGGATAAACAAACTTTGGTACATCCACATAAAAGCACATTATGCAGCCCTAAAAAGGAATGAAGTAATGATACATGCCACAACATGGATGCACCTTGAAAACATGCAAAGTGAAAGGGGCCAGACACAAAAGGCCACATATTGTCTGAGTCCATTGACGTTAAATGTCTGGAGTAGGCGAGTCAACAGAGAAAGTAGATTAGTTGTGGCCAGGGCTATGGGAACAGGGAATGAAGAGGGACTCCTCATGACTACGCGTTTCTTTTTGGGATAATAAAAATGTCTGGAATAACATAGTGGTGACGGTTGCACAACTTTGTAAAGATACTAAAGCAACTGAATGGTACACTTGACAACAGTGAAATTTGTAGTATGTGAATTAAACATAGAGTATATGAATTTCAATTTTTAAAAACGCAGAAATTTAGCTCACGAGTCATACAAAACAAACTGCAGGCTGGATTTGGCCTGGGGCCTACAGCTTGCCAACCCTGTTCTAGCATCTAACACAGAAGACAGTTTTGGGTATTACACACACACACACGCCCCATAAAGTAGAACAAAGTCAAAGGCAACAACTGGAAAGAAACGGAGCCACGATTTTATTATTTGATGATAATTAGATAAAGTTATGAAAAAATAGAAAGTCAAATGCCTGCTTACGCTTACTGCCACCAAACCCATAAAGTTACTTTTCCGGGAATGGACAGAATTCAACAGACCGGTGGGGGAAAAAAGGGAGTGTTCTAGAAAGCACAACTTGTAAATACCAATCCCATTCTGTCATCCCAAAACCCTTTCCAAATAAAATAAGCTACTTTAGAAATGCATTTACTGGCACATTACCTGGAGGTACTAGTTGTATTAATTCAAACCGGGTTAGGAAGCCTAAAAGGGAAAAAAATGAGATTTTAATACTTAAGAAAAATGCTGGAGTTGTTCATTAATTGCTAAGTTTAAGACTGCCATAACATCCCATTTATATTAATAATAATATTAATAATAATAATAATAATAATAGGTGCCGTACCAACAATGATTTAGGTATTTTGAGGCCCAGTAATTCAAAGGCATGGAATGAGAGTAATTGGTATTCTTTGCCCTGAAAAGTGTTGATGAAATGAATGCAATATTTTCTCTCTTAAAAGTGTATTCATAAAGGATGCCTGGGTGGCTCAGTGGGTTAAGCGTCTGCCTTTGGCTCAGGTCATGATCCCAGGGTCCTGAGATCAAGTTCCACATCAGGGTCCCTGCTCAGCAGGGAGCCTGCTTCTCCCTCTCCCTCTGCTGCTCCCCCTGCTTGTGCTCTCTCTAACAAATAAAATCTTAAAAAAAATTTTTTTAACATATTCGTAAGTCACTGACATAATAATTGACTTATCATTTTTAAAAAATTCACAATACAACTGTTGTCAATTAACCTACATAAGTTTATCTTGCTTAAAACAGTATGTTTTCTGGGGCGCCTGGGTGGCTAAGTTGTTAAGCATCTGCCTTTGGCTCAGGTCATGATCCCAGGGTCCTGGGGTGGAGCCCCGCTTCAGGCTCCCTACTCGGCAGGAAGCCTGCTTCTCCCTCTCCCACTCCCCCTGCTTGTGTTCCCTCTCTCACTGTGTCTCTCTCTGTCAAATAAATAAATAAAATCTTAAAAAAAAAAACACTATGCTCTCTGACTATATAAATGAGACATAAAATATCACATTTTTTATACTTCCTGAGTCCAAAATGTATTTATAAATAGTGAGCCCATGTACAAAATCTATAAGGACAAGAATAAAATTCAAATCTTAAAGTAATTTAAACATAAATGGTATAACAATTAAAAATCAATAAAGATAATTCCCACAAAATATGAGAAGTGAAAACATTTTAAAATAGACAATAATGGTGACAATTTTAGACACTTATAGTTACTAATACTGTATGATATATTTGAAAGCTGCTGAGAGTAGGTCTTAAATGTTCTCACAACAAAAAAGAAATGGTATTATGTGATGTGATGAGTTTCTTAGCTAATGCTGTGGTGGTTATCATTTCACAATATATAAGTGTATCGAAACCACATATCGTATACCTTAAATTTACACAATGTTATACATCAATTATGTCTCAAAGAAGCTGGAAATATGTGAAAAAAAAGTAAAATTGTCCCTTCGTAGACTTATGAAAAAGATATGAGTGTATGAGGACAGAATTTTAAATGCCAAGAAACTTAACAGCTAAGACAGCTTGTAATTTTAGGTTTTCCAAGTAGGAAAAAGGAACATATCTTTGCCAACCATCACTCCAATGGTTGTTTAGCACTTCATTTGTCTCAGGCTCCAAATTCCTTACATTCAATTAATTCTCACCACATCCCATGTTCATGGATTGGAAGACTTAATATTGTTCAGATGGAAATATTCCCTAAGTTGATCCACAGGTTCAGTGCAATGCCTTTCAACATCCTAGCTGGCTTCTTTGCAGAACTGACATGCTGATCCTAAAATTCATATGGAAAGGAAAGGAAATCCAAATAGCAAAAACTGCCTTGAAAAGAACTAAGGTAGGGGACTCACATTTCCTGACTTCAAAACTTACTTACAAAGTTACAGTAATCAAAATTGTGTGGAACTGGCATAATGATAGATACATGGATCAACAGAATAGAGAGTCAAAAACAAACAAACAAACAAACAAACCCTGGGGCGCCTGGGTGGCTCAGTCGTTAAGCGTCTGCCTTTGGCTCAGGTCATGATCCCAGGGTCCTGGGATCGAGCCCCGCTTCGGGCTCCCTGCTCAGAGGAGAGTCTGCTTCTTTCTCTCCCACTCCCCCTGCTTGTGTTCCCTCTCTTGCTGTCTCTCTCTCTCTGTGTGTCAAATAAATAAAAAAAAATCTTTTAAAAAACCCTTCATTTTTACACTCAGTTGACTTTGAACAAACATGCCAATACTTTTCAATGGGGGTAAAATACTCTTATCAACAAATGGTACCAGGATGACTGGATATCCAGATGCAAGTTGGACCCCTACTTCATGCTATTTATAAAAATCAACATAATACATATCATAGACATAAATGTAAAAGTTAAAACTATAAAACGCTTAGAAGAAAACATAGACATAAATCTTTGTGACTTGAATGAGGTAATGCTTTCTTAGTTATGACATCAAAAGTGCAAATAACAAAAGAAAAACAGATAAAATTGAATTCATCAAAATTTTAAATTTTTGTGTTTCAAAGAACACCATCAAGAAAATGAAAAGATAATCCAAAGAATGGAAGAAAACATTTATCTATCATACATTTGATATGGGACTTGTATCTACAATATACAAAGAACTCGATACATTACAAGTCCACTATATATTACAACTCAATAATAAAAAACCAAATAACCCAATTAAAATATAAGCAAAAGCTCTGAATACACATTTCTCCAAAAAAGATATAGAGTCAATAAACACATGAAAAAATGCTCAACATCATCAAACCACAATGAGATTTCACTTCATACCCACAAGGATGGCTAGCAATCAAAAGGACAGGTAATAAGAAGTGTTGGCCAGAAGTGGAACCCTCACATATTGCTGGTGCAATGTGAAATAATTCAGCTGCTTTGGTAAAGTTTCTCCAGAGATTAAAAAGAATTACCATATGACCCCATACTTCTATTCCTAGGTATATACCCAAGAGAAATGAAAACATATGTCAACAAAAAAACTTGTACACAAATATTCATAGCAACATTATTCATCACAGCCCAAACGTGAAAACAACCCAACCACCCATCAACCAATGAATGACTAAATAAAATATAGTATCTCCATACAATGGAACACTATTTGGCCACAAAAGCACATGAAGTATTAACACATGCTGTAGCAAAGATGAATCCTGAAAACATTATGCTCAGGGAAAGAAGCCAGTCACAAAGGAGCACGTATTGTATAATTCCATTTACATGAAATATGCAGAATAAGCAAATCTACAGAGACAGAAAGATTGGTTAGCAGTTAGCTAGGGCTGGGAGTGATAAGGAAGAATGGGTTTAAGGCTTCATTCTATGATAAAAATGTTTTATAATTAATATGGTGATGGTCACACAACTGTGTGAAGGTACAAAAACCATTTAATTGTAAATAAATTAATAAACAAACAGAAGTGTACCATCCAGTAAGTCCCATCTCTATCTAGAAAAGAGTCTGTAAGAGAACGAAAAACATGACTCAAATTTGACATAGACTCTCCTGAATATAAATATGAATCGAACATGGAAATATTACAACATAGAATATCGTAGAATTTTATATCTGTACACACAATTACACACACAACAGTTGTTTTGTTTTGTTTTGAGAGTACCTACTTTCTAAAATGTCTGCTACAGCGCCAGGATCTATGGCATTTTCAAACACCTGCAGGAAAAAAAAATGGTGAAAATAAATTTTCAAACATTTATTAATAGATGCTTGTAGAAAATGTAGATTATATTCTTCCAAATAATTAACACATGCCAATTCCAGCCATATAATATTTTAAAATTCAACAGGAGTATCTTTAACAGGTATGTGTTAAAAGTCCAATGAATGACTATAGAATGAGAACACAGTACGAAGCACAAGGAAAATCTGAGTTAGCTGAATCTACCACATGCTCCAAATGTCATCAACTTGACCTAGCCCTACAGTTTGCTGCCAAAAGCACATCTGGCGTCAAGCCTCAGAGTCTTGCTTGGGTACCTAGAAATACATTCTGCATACCACAGACACTCATTAAATGATGTTAACTGAATAAACGACCTTAGCAATTGGTTGTGCTCAAAAGGAACATAAGTAAAAATTCTATCTACGTGTAACACAAAAGAAAATGAGGCACTACTAAGCTATACTTCTACAGAACCCAAAATAACCAGAGCGAGGGAGAGCCTCATAAGCTTAAAGTATACCGTGAAGCACAAGACAAATGTGATATCCGTCTAGCCAATGCCAAATCTGCTTATTTTGTCTTTGAGCTGAAGGGTCTGGGAGAGAACTGAGATTAAAAGCATGACACGCCCTTTTCCCTGAACTCTGGAAGCCGCCAAGAAACGAAAGTTTTCATCAGAGTTTGATTTCAGGCATTTAAGTTCTGATATAAATGGTGTTTAAATTTAAGCATGGTTAACATCTGCTCTTGATCCAAAGCCAGTTCACCTTTAAGTACAAAAGTGGAGGCTGTCCCCTGTAATCTGTTTTTGTCTTACTGACTTAGATTTTTCAAGCAAATGCAGGTGAGGGGTTTTTTTTTCCCCTGAATTATTTCAGCTTGCTTCATTTGCTTGCCTATTTCACCTTCACTTCATCCATGGCTACGGATTTTCTCAACTGTGATCCTGGGGAGTAATTGCTCAAACACAATGTCTCATACATTCTTGATAAGCGATTTCTTATTTATCCAAATGTTTTAGAACATTCATTTCTGGGTTACATAGCAGGTCCAAGGAGGAGAAAATGTCTTCGATACTTGCTGCAAGTATTTGCAGCTAGAGAATGGAACAAATACAAGAAAACTGGAGCCAGGTGGGAGAAAGCTGGAATAGGAACCCAAGCGGCTCACACACGAGGGCAATATTTCAAAATTTTTAAATAAATGCATTTTATAAAAAGAAAAATGGTCCGTGATACATGTTTGACTAGCAATCTTCAAATGCACAGCTTTGCAACAGAGCAGTAGTGGCATCTGGAGTCTAACTCTGAGGTTGATCCCCCCTTTTCTACAAGTCAAGGACGTTGGACTAGATGACCTCCAAGGTCATTCACGGAATTATCATTCTGTGCTTCTGTGATTTTGTATCCTTGTGCTTCTCTTAAAAGGGAAGTCTTTTTAAAGTCTTCTATAGAAGGAAAACTGAAAAACTAATAAGGATATTCCCAGGGGAAAACACAGACTGGATTTTCACCACCCACTTCCTACCACTACCAGTATCTAAATAGCAGAAATGGGTTCCTCTGGATTCTGACTATATGTCCCAAGGTAATATCCATTTATTCCTCTCCTCTCTTATCCAACCAGTTTTGTAGACTCTATTTCAATTTCTGCTGTGATTTCCAAAAACATTACATACAGCCGAGCCTTTTAGAAAATCAATCCTCATCGCCTCTCCCAGTCTCAGTTGGAAACAGGTCATTTTCTGGGCAACACCATCCAGACCTTTAAAAATGAGGGGCTCGGGACGCCTGGGTGGCTTAGTCGTTAAGCATCTGCCTTCGGCTCAGGTCATGGTCCCAGGGTCCTGGGATCGAGCCCCGCATCGGGCTCCCTGCTCAGCGGGAAGCCTGCTTCTCCCTCTCCCACTCCCCCTGCTTGTGTTCCCTCTCTTACTGTCTCTCTATCTGTCAGATAAATAAATAAAATCTTTAAAAATGATGGGCTCTACCTTATCTAGCCTTCCCATACTCATCCCCTCCTCCAAAGAGCAGCTCAGCGATATTGTTTGGGGAAAAATCATTAGACTGATCAAGGTTAAAAGTGATTCCGCCTCCAAATTCCAAAACGAAAACTTCAAAGAACTGTGCATGATTCATAATAATGAAACTAATATTCTAAATTAAAGTGGGAAGAAGTTTGTAATGTTCATTTAATATCATGTTCGTACTCACTGGAATAGAACCTAGCCTTTATCACTGTAGCTAAATAAACCAGGGACGACCTAAGAAAATTCAATAAATCTGAAGAGGCTTGTTTTGTTACAGGATTTCAGGTACAGGATCTTACTAATTTGAATATAGTTTTTTTCATTATTCTTCTGAGTCTACAAAAGTTTGTTTCTAAGGTCCACTAATTTACTGATAATCTCGGTCAGAAATGTAATGCAGCTGCCTCTGACACCTCCAAGAACATTCAGAAAATGCTCTCTCTGCTCCAGTTAGAAAATGCCATGGGAACTCCAAGAATAGAAAGCATCCACCAGGGCATTTAGCGCTAGGTTGACAGAACTTGGCTCAGACCTACAATGCAAAAGCAAGTCCTCCAACTCTGGTTCTGTACTGTTCTGAGGTGCCTTCAGGTCATTTTTTTCTTTTAAGAAAATGTACAAAATAACTTTATAAGACCCATTAGATGATCTCCAGACAACAACATTTAAACTTCTCTCTTTGGCAATGAGAAAGTCAGGATCACCTTTTCAAACCTCATGCTCTGCTGAATCATAATAGGGAACACAGAGGGAAAGCAGTCGGTCTCCAGGTATTGATTTAGGAGGTACACCCCAAGGTACACATCTTGCTTGTCAGGAAGGAACACCCCTGGACAAGAAATCTTAAAAACAAAGAAAAAACAGAGAACAGGGTTTGTTTGGTGTCGTTTTTTAAACGGAGCTCTGGTTTCCCTGAACTCCCACGGCCGCCGTCAACCCCCCCCCCCCCCCCCCCCCCCCCCCCCTCGCCTGGACCTCCCACACCTCCATCTCCCCCTGTCGTCGCCCTCCTCGAGTAGAAATTCCAGTTTCCTCCCCCGCCTCCGCCAGGTGTCACACTCGTCCTCTCGCCGGCTCCTCTCCCCGCCCCTCCGGGAGGCCAGTGCGGAAGCGGAAGAGGCTGCAGGGCCGGGAGCCTCTCGCTAGGCCGGTCGGCTCCTGGGGTCCGTGCCCCCCGCCGCGATGCCGAGCCCCCGGAGGAACGCGGACGGACGCCCGCTGGCCGCCTCCGCCTCGAGCACCAGCAGCCCCGGCAGCCCGGCCCACGGCGGCGGCGGCGGCGGCGGCGGCCGGTTCGAGTTCCAGTCCCTGCTCGGCAGCCGCGCGCCCGGCGCGGACCCCACCTGCGCCCGGCTGCGCGCGTCCGAGAGCCCGGTGCACCGCCGCGGCTCCTTCCCTCTGGCCGGGGCCGGCCCCCCGCAGGCAGCCCCCGCCCCGCTGCCGGAGGAAGACCGCATGGACCTGAACCCGTCCTTCCTGGGCATCGCCCTGCGCTCCCTGCTGGCCATCGACCTGTGGCTGTCCAAGAAGCTGGGGGTGTGCGCCGTTGAGAGCTCGTCCTGGGGTAGCATGCGGCCTCTTATGAAGCTGCTGGAGATCTCGGGACACGGCATCCCCTGGCTCCTGGGGACCCTCTATTGCCTGTCCAGGAGCGACAGCTGGGCCGGGCGCGAGGTGCTCATGAACCTGCTCTTCGCCCTGCTCTTGGACCTGCTGCTGGTGGCCCTGATCAAGGGGCTGGTGCGCAGGCGCCGCCCGGCTCACAACCAGATGGACATGTTTGTCACCCTCTCAGTGGACAAGTACTCCTTCCCCTCGGGCCACGCCACCAGGGCCGCCCTGGTGTCGCGGTTCATCCTGAACCACTTGGTGCTGGCCATTCCGCTGAGGGTGCTTGTGGTCCTATGGGCCTTCATCGTGGGCTTCTCCAGGGTCATGCTGGGGCGGCACAATGTCACTGACGTGGCTTTTGGCTTTTTTCTGGGCTACACGCAGTACAGCATCGTGGACTATTTCTGGCTTTCGCCGCACAATGCCCCGGTCCTCTTCGTACTGTGGAACCAACAATGACACCATCTCTTTCATTTATGGCACCGGGAGATCTGAAGGTTTCCACATGCGATGAAGCCGGCGTAAACCAGCGGCAATTCTGCTTCTCCCTCTAAGGACATTTCAGGCTTCGTTTGGGATTTCAGGTGTCATTCCGTCTTGATGGGTTGCTACGCTGGAGAACATGCTGGCCATTATGACCACAGCCATGTTACAGAAAGCAAAAAAAAAAAAAAAAAAGCCCTCTATTATATATTTATTCAACAACTATTTCTATCTCCAGGACAACTGCAAAGAAAACAAGCTGGGGTGATTATAATCCTGCTGTTTTTTAAAAGTTGACAAAAGTAAATTTTGGGTTTTGTAGTCATCCTGTAAGTCAACATACCATTTGTAAAGTGAACTTTGGAAAAAAAAAAAAAAAACCTATGATTCTGTCAGTATACATGCAGATGAACCACCTACTAATCCTAGTTCTTTTCCTGAGGTAGATTTTAAACAGTATTTTAAAAGTCTAAGACATAGGTTTTTCTCATTTATTCCCTGAAAATCTGTTGCCACAGTGTCTTCTTAATCCTGATTTTCTTGATAAGCTTTCTTAGTATATTGTCTCTTCCATCTTTGTGGATTGGGTAGTGAGAAGAGAGATTATAGTACATATCTTGCTTTCCTTTCCCTCTACCTCCTCAAAAACTCTTTAAATAGGTATTTATTTCCCATTACTCTCCAATATTATCTTTATGCATTTAGAGAACAAGCCAAGAACTTAACTTGAAGAAGAAACACTTAAAGGTGGGCATATCTACAGTGCCCACGGAAATGGAAGGATGGGACTATGACCGAATGCTTAATTCTGTTGATGACAAATAGCATGGCATGACAGAGGACCGGAAAGCTGAGGACTCAGGAACTACAAGTCTGGGGGTGGGCTTACCACATACTATGTCAGTGGGCCAGTATGGTGGGAGATGGGGCTCTGCTGCCCATCATCTCTACTGAATAAACAATAATGCTCCTCTACTTAGGTAATAGGAAAATAACTTGGTTCTTTGCAGTGCAAGGCCGTAAACTTTCTTATATGTATCACAAGGATGACCCTGTATATTAAACTTTTTCATATGGAATTCCATTTCCCCGTATACAGCACACTTTAGTAACAGTATTTAACTTGAAATTCATCAGGGGAGCCCACTGCTATACCAGGCACAAGGTATAACTAACTCCTAAATTTCCCTTTACATTGACCTTCACATTTAAAGCAGTTTATCCATAGGTGCCTCCCCAAATCACAAGACCAAAGATCACCAAATGCAGGACGGACTCTGCTCATTATTCTTTGAGCAGGGAAGACCAAGAAGGGGATGTGCTTTAAATGCTGTCCTACCTGAAAAATAAGAATTTTTGAATTACCTCTGGCACTGGTGTTTTCAGATAATTACGGATTATTTTGACATTTACAGAAAGAGAGGATTATGGCCTTTGTCACGTAGAGGGGCACACTGGAATCTGGAGAATGGTGTGACAAGTGGGCTCTGATTGGGTAGAAGTGTGAGCTTTCTGAGTGTGAGAGGCACACGGAGGAACTCCTCAAAGTAAAATAAAATCACTTGTATTCCCACAACATCCTGAACGCAAGACTACCTCTTCTCTCGCTGAATCAGCCAAACTGTAAAGCTCTAAGTGATTTGCTTTATTGTTTAATCTTAGATCTTTTGTTTTAATCCGGCAATATTCAGGCCAGATCTTTTTGAAAGCAGTATTTCCTTTTGCGGTGTTCACAAGTCTGAATATTGGGAGCTCACAGTTTTATCTTCTGGTTCCTGGTTTTACTTCTGGAATTCCCTGTCTTAGTCGTTGGGGACCTGAGTGCAGGCTTTTAAAGCACAGATCAATTCAAGTGATGTCTCTGAAACACTTTAGAGTAGAAAATGATTTTACTGTAAATTAATTGTACACTGAGGAATGCCTTTGAAAAATGAAAATAAAATTAACCAGTAATGTTGAATGAAGTGAGATGAAAACTTTTTCCATTTTTGCCTTGGTGGAAGACTGCTTTATCACTCAGCTTCTCAAGAATTCCTCCCCCCTACTGCAAAATTTTGAGGGTCGGCAGCACTCGATGTAGCACAATTTGATAGAGTCTAGTCCTATTTGCTCTCAGCGAAATGGGACAAATCCAGGACATTTTTGTCTTTCAGAACTGCATGTATCATGAAACCACAGCACTTGTCACTTGTACGGAGGCTCACCAGATTTTCCGTGGCCAAAACTTACTGACACTGTGCTTGTAATCACGGCCGGTAGAGAAGCCCCTATAAGCTGGGAGGCAAAGGTGCATGACAGTCTGTCACCAACTACGGATGGAAGGATTGGAACACAGAAGCTGAATTCAGGGTAGTGACTGACCCCAAACAGGAACAATGCAGTCACTCTGCCACAGCACCTCACTTATGCAGGATTCGGTGGATAATTATAAAACAAGTGTTGACTGACTGACCCCTTTTGGAATTAGCAAGCCAGAGCCATCTCTAGGGGAAATACTTAGAAAATATTCAATTAGGGGATGCCTGGGTGGCTCAGTCGGTTAAGTGTCTGCTTTCGGCTCAGGTCATGATCCCAGGGTTCTGGGATCGAGCCCCACATGGGGCTCCTTGCTCAGTAGGGAGCCTGCTTCTCCCTTTGACTGCCGCTCCCCCTGCTTGTGCTTTCTCGCTCTCTCTGACAAATAAATAAAATATTTTTTAAAAATACATATTCCATTGGTTCACAGAGGTGGCAAGTTATCAGGAAGTGATTGGGCTTTCCGAAATTGAATTCTTCCCTTGTTATTTAAAGGAGGGTTGTTTGGTTTTTTTTTTTTATTATTATTATTATTTCACAAATCTTTATCCTGGGGAAAAAAAATAAAATTCTTCTTGGACTTAATGCAGGATTATTCTAAAATAACAGACAATTTTAGGATAAAGCTAACAAACAAGTCCTTTAGGGGGCAAAAATGTTGAAAGAGGTTGGGCTGAATTAAAGGTAAAGAAATCAGGGAAGACCAAAGTAAAGCTCTTAGGGACACAGAGGTACGATCTGCCCCAAAAGATAATGATGATGTGTGTGTCGTGAGGCGGGGAGGAGGTGGTGTACGTGATCGCGACCATTTAGGAACCCTGGGGGAAAGAGTCTGATTTGGAGCGAGGAGTGGAGGTTCGCCGCCTTCTCTTACCGCCCGGATCTGTAGTTCTACCACCACTTCCAGAGGCATCGTTCCCTGCGTGGGCGAAAGGACTGGAATGAAAAGATCCTTTTGTGCTGAGCCTTGGACTGATTTTTCTTAGTGTAGCTCACTCCCTGGGGCAAACGTTTCCAGCAGCTTCCCCTGCCCCCAGGCCCCTCGTCCCCCCATCCGTCCCCACCCCGGACTCAGCCCAGGTTCCCCCTACCCGGACGGGTCTCACAGTGCGGGAGCTGGAGCCAAGGCTTGCAGAAGGCGGAAGCGTGGCGTTGCCATGAACGCTCCAACGCGCCACCTTCCACCTGGAACGCGAGCGAGGCTCGGCGCACGCGCAGTGCCGAAGCGGGCTTCCCGGACTGTGCGCCGGCCGCGGAAGGACCCGGGGCCGCGCGGGTGGCTGGGTTGCAGGATGCTGGGAGAGCTCCAGTTTCCCTTCCCGTCACCTCTCTTTATGGCCCCCGTCAGTATGTTAAAATGTCTACAGGGTCCATTCCGAAAGGGGAATATGAGCATTAGCTCCGTTATCATTTAAGTGCTTCCCATGCTGAGTAGCTATGTGATTGCCGAGCCCTGGAATTTCTTTAACAATTCCAATTAATAGAGTAGCCTGTCCCTGAAACTACTCTCTTGCTTGTGAAATGTTATGTCCTCGTGTTTGGTTTGGAAAACATGGCCTCCGTCAATAATAAGAAACCAACCGTTTCAATCTCAGAATTATCCTTGTATTTTTTTTAATTTTATTTATTTTTGACAGAGAGAGCGCGCACAAGCAGAGGAAGCAGCAGGTAGAGGCAGAGGGAGAAGCAGGCTCCCCGCTGAGCAGGGAGCCCGATGCGGGGCTCGATCCCAGGACACTGGGATCGTGAACTGAGCCGAAGGCAGATGTTTAACCGTCTGAGCCCCCCAGGCGCCCCTATCCTTGTATTTCTATTTGGCAGTGGAAATATTTGTCCGTCTCTCTTTTCTGACGTTTAGTTAACCTAAGGCAAGCAGGGAATTACGTTATCTCCCAGCGGTTAATCGTTAACAGTGGTTGCCAAAGCCAGGGCCACACTATAAAAACCATCAGAGGTGGCAGGCAGAGGAAAAGCTCTTAACCAGTAGGGAAAACTGCATTTTTGTCCATTCACTGTACTTGACAGACCAAAATGAAGGAAAGGAGGAGGGAGTGGCTGCTTCTAGCCAATCTGAAAAATCTGGGAGGGTCAATGCTGTCTCTGGAAAGAAATCTGAAATTGTGATGAGTCATTTATTACTAAACTATTGGAGGTTTCCGCATTTGCAGGAATGCAAGTGCACAAACATGTCCTGAGACAAGAATTAGGCATTCACTTTGGTAATTGGAGTTCCTATGGAAAAGCTCGGTATGATGAAGGAGGGTATATTATGTCCTTACACAACCCCCGTTGCTCTGTATGTCTGCATACCAAGAGGCACATAGGTGTATGCTTGGCTCCCTCCCATATCCAGAGAACTGATTTGTTGGCTCACAACAGCTTGCTGGTACCCAGGCGAGTGCAGGGGTATATGGAAACAGGAGGGCTGTTGACCCTCATAGATAAGTCACCAAAACCAATGCTAAGTCATCAAGGAGAGTAACAGCTAAAACAGATGAATAAATGAGTGGAAGGAGACATAATGAAAGGGAGGAAACAATCTTTATTGAGAAGCTGCAAAGTGCTAGACCCCTTGCATATGCTGATTCATCTCCACAATAACTCTTGGGGGAAGGTATCATCTCTATTTTACAGATGCAAGATCTGAAGCCAGACAGCTTTTTCCCCCAGGCCACACAGCTAAAGGGAAACAGGACCACACTTGAATCCAGGTGTGCCCTACCACCTCATGGCCCCTGCGGCTTCGTACAGACACACCGTCCCATCCTGTGCTCTTACTAGTCTTAACTGCACTCTCCTTGCTTGGCTCCTCTGGTTGGATACAAGCCCTTTTCTGGTTTCCCTTCAACTCTCTGGCCATTCTTTCTCTCTGTTCATCCTCCTCTACCTGGCTATGTTTCTAGGTCCTTTACTTACTCTATGCCCTTTACCTATGGTGGCATACAAATACATGGACACAGATCTACATATTTCACCCAGGCCTTTCTTCTGCTCTCCCTGACAAGGAGGAATCTCCTGACTACAAATCCATGTGTCTCTTCTTTGTAGCAACTACCACAATAGCATTTTCACACTTGTTCCTGTGATTGTTGATTATTTGTCTCCATAAACTGTGAGTTCTGCATGGCTAAGAGTTTATATTCTAAATACCTAGCATAGCAGATGCTCAATAAATATCTTTGAAGAGATGTTAAATGCAGAGATGGTCAAGCCAGTCTGTAGGGTTCAACGTATGGGGTTAGGGGGTTCCCTCATGTTAGAGGAGGTCATCAAGAGGACAATGACCATGGGTTGACCCACAAGGTGGACCAGGGCAATTGGAAGCTCCTCACCCCCCTCCACTGTCCTTGAGTGTACATTCTACCCACCATTCTCACAACAGGAGTCGTCTGAAGAACACAGGCCTTGTGACAGCAAAATGCTGTTGAGACCATCTGGATGGTATATGTGAGTGAACCCGGTTAAGTCCTCCAAATAAACTTCTAAGTTTCTGGTGGGTGGGTGCAGAGATCTACTCATCTTGTGGCTGCCTAAGACAAGCCTCCTGTGTAATTTCCCTTTCTTATTAAAACTGTCACCTACTGGGTGTCTGGGTGGCTCAGTCATTAAGCATCTGCCTTCACTCAGGTCATGATCCCGGGGTCCTGAGATCGAGCCCCATATCGGGCTGCCTGCTCGGCAGGAAGCCTGCTTCTCCCTCTCCCACTCCCCCTGCTTGTGTTCCCTCTCTCACTGTGTCTCTCTCTGTCAAATAAATAAAATCTTAAAAAAAAACACAAAAAACTGTCACCTACTAATCTTGAGTGGCCTGCCTCTTTCTTCAGTCTCTCATTGTCCTCTACGTCTAGGAGCCAGTTTCAGATTTCACCCAGCGAAGCTCCTGAGTTTAGGAACCAACACCACGTCAGGGCAGACTAAACACGCAGAATGAGAAAAGACCAGGTAGGTACAGCTACTACTGCTAGTCTGCCGGGGAGGTATTAAATGAGTTGATGAGGAATATTTACGCTCTGTTAATTTCACTCACCATGGTCACTTGAGCTACCATGGAGACGTAAACGTTTCTGCATACACAATGCCTCTGGCCGTCTTGCGAAGTAGTGAATCATTGAGGCTGCCATGTTGGTGGCAGAAAACAAATCCCACTGACCAACTTCTATTCCCACAGTGTTTTTGCAGTTTAGGCTGGTCAGCAGTGATATCAGCACTACAGAAATGACCCCTCGGCACATCCTGCTCACATCCTGTCCACTGCCAAAAAAAAAAAAAAAATGGTCCATGTCCCACATGGGAATTTTCCAAAGGGTTAATTAGCAAAGAACAAAAGTGTAACAGTCAGATAATTACGGTTGCAAATTTTCCATTTAACCAAAAACATGAATGATAAGACACTAAATTGTAAACATTCCTCAAATAATGTAGAAAGGAGTGCTCATGTGAAGGAGGAAACTATTTAAAAAGAGAGAAGGCTCTAATGGCTTAAAACAAGACAAATTTATCATTTATTATTTTTCATTTTGTGGGTCAGAAATCCAACACAGACTTCGCTGGGCTAAAAGCAAAGCTAAAAGCAGGGCTGCATTCTTTGCCTTGTTCCTTTCTTTGTTTTTCCAGTTTCTAAGGGTCACCTGCATTCCTTGGCTCCTAGCTCCCTTCCTCCAACTTCAAAGCCAGCAAATTTGAGCCAAGTCCTTATCACACTGCCATGTCATTGGTTCTCTCTTTAGGGATCTTTGTGATTACAACTGGCCCATCCAGATAACCCAGGATCATTTCCCTATCTTAAGGTCAGCTGATTAGCAACTCTAATTCCATCTGTAATGTTAATTCCCCTTTGCCACAGAAGGTAACATATTCAAAGGTTCCAGGAATTAGGACATGGATAGGCTCTTTTTCTGCCTACCACATGTAACCTCTCTAGAGAGCAACTTGTTAATGTCTATCAAAATTTTTCATTTGACTCAGCAATTCCACTGCTAGGAATGGGTGTGTATGAATATACTTTCACACATACACAAAAATACATGCTGCAGCATTATTTGTAGTTTAAAAAGATACTGGGGCAAGGGGGTGGGGGTGCCTGGGTGGTATAGTGGGTAAAGCGATCACCTCTTGGCTTCAGCTCAGGTCGTGATCTCAAGATCCTGAGATTGAGCCCTGTATCGGGCTCCCTGCTTAGCACGGAGTCTGCTTAAGACTGTCTCTCCTTGGGGCACCTGGGTGGCTCAGATGGTTGGGCATCTGCCTTCGGCTCAGGTCGGCTCAGGTCATGATCTCAGGGTCCTGGGATCGAGCCCTGCATCGGGCTCCCTGCTTGGCGGGGAGCCTGCTTCTCTCTCTCCCTCTACTGTTCACCCTGCTTGTGCTCTCTCGCTCTCTCTGTCAAATAAATAACATCCTTAAAAAAAAAAAAAAGACTCTCTCCTTTTCCCTCTGCCCCCCCAAAATTAATAAATAAATCTAAAAAAAAAAAAAGGTACTGGGGACACCTGGCTGGCTCAGTCACTGGAACATGCAACTCGTGATCTCTGGGTTGTAAGTTCAAGCCCCACATTGGGTGTAGAATTTACTTTAAAAAATAAATAAATAATAACATTTTTTAAAAAATTTAAAAAGATACTGGAAACCACCTAAATGTTCATTAAGTAGGGGCAGATTCAATCAATTATGCTTAAGCCTTAAGATGGAACACTATGTGGGGCGCCTGGGTGGCTCAGACGTTAAGCGTCTGCCTCCGGCTCAGATCATAATCCCAGGGTCCCCACATCAGGCTCCCTGCTCTGCGAGGAGCCTGCTTCTCCCTCTCCCACTCCCCCTGCTTGTGTTCCCTCTCTCGCTGTGTCTCTCTCTGTCAAACAAATAAATAAAATCTTAAAAAAAAAGATGGAACACTATGCAGCATGGAAAATGAATAAAGCAGAGCTGTACATCATAGCAACAAATACTCTCTAAAATATAGGACTAATGGGGGCAAAAAGCATGGAACAAAAAAATGTGGAAGTATGATGCCACTTGGAAGAGACAGGGGATATGATATGTGCATACATGCTTAGAATATTCCTCAGAGGGTACACTAGAAACTGTTAATAGTGGGTTCTTCGGAGGAGGGGCCCTAGAGCAGAGAGAAGAAACTTCCTTTTCATTGAATATCCTTAGGTACTTTTTGAATATTTTTGCCAAGTATTTGCATTATCTAGTCCAAATAGGAAAACAAATTAAAACAAGTAGAAAACAGGGGTGCCTGGGTGGCTCAGTCGTTAAGCGTCTGCCTTCGGCTCAGGTCATGGTCCCAGGGTCCTGGGATCGAGCCCCACATCGGGCTCCCTGCTCAACGGGAAGCCTGCTTCTCCCTCTCCCGCTCCTCCTGCTTGTGTTTCCTCTCTCACTGTCTCTCTCTCTGTCAAATAAATAAATAAAATCTTTAAAAAAAATAAAACAAGTAGAAAACATAAAACAATAAAAAGGCTAAATCTGGGTAACTAGGGAGGACCAGGCACTGGATTCTTGAGCTTTTTGGGGCAGCATCCTATATACTGCATGCCTTGAAAATACCCTTGCAAGTGTGGTTGCTTTTCTGCTCCCAGTGCAGTGTGTCTTATCCCATGGCCCCTGGCCGTCTCAGGGGTCCTAAAGCCCCTGAAATGATAGCAACGTTTCCTGCATGTGTATATGGGCATTTTTCTGGGAAGAGAGGCTGTCGTTTTCACCAGAGTCTGGAAGGGATAGAGTTAGTCAAACTAAGTTTTAGAACCACTGTCCTGCCCTCTATCCTGACATCAGTTCCTTTCTACAGTACAAAGAAAGGCCACCTGGGTGATCTGACAAAGCAGAAGGTAAGGAAAGAGGGGCTATTCTCTGCAGCACTTTCATGCCCACTTACTAGAGCAAATTGTCTCTCCAAGGGAAGCTGTATTCAATAGTAAGTGAGAAAGACCTCAAGGTCCTGTTCTGGGCCATTAGTTTATGTCTGGACTCAGACTCATTTTTAGGCCTACAATCTTTTGAGACAGTGAATTATTCATTAGCAAATGTGAACAACACCAGCAGATTGAGTTTCCGAAGTAAGCTGTTCATTAGCATTTGTGAGATGGCTGAAAAGAAAAAAAAAAAGATCCAAGTACAGGAAACAATCTGGATTATTTCAGCAATGATGCATTTTCAGATCACTGATTTTTCTTAAAGATTTTTATTTATTTATTCAGGAAAGAGCGAGTGAGCAGGAGCAGGGGGAGGGGCAGAGGGAGAAGCAGACTACCCACTGAGGAGGAGCCCCATGTGGGGCTTGATCCCAGGAACCTGGGATCATGACCTGAGCTGAAGGCAGATGCCCAACTGACTGAGCCACCCAGGCGCCTTGATTTTTTTTTTTTTTAAAGCGCAGACCCAGGGGCACCTCAGTTTCAGCTCGGGTTGTGATCTGGGGGTCGTGGGATCAAGCCCCACATGGAGGCCTCTGTTGGGTTCTGCGCTGGGCACACAGTCTGCTTGTCCCTCTTCCTCTACTCCGCCCTTCAATCACTCTCTCTCTCAAATAATTTTTTTTTAAAAAAGCACAGGCCTAGCCTTGAGACCCAAGAAATAATCGTTTTATATAGGCCTTCTCCAAAATCTTTCTCTGAAATGTTAACAGTTTAGTTTCCAACAGTTTGATATACAGAAAAGTTTACCTTTCTAACTTTTACTATGAATGTATAAAAAAGCTCAGTGAACAATGCTGGACTCTTGATTCTCATAAACTGCATAAAGATGAAGTTTATATTTTTTAAAAAGTTAATGAACCCACTGATTAATCTTAACATCACTAAAGGTGGCATCCTGTCTCCCTATGTGATTCACAAAAGGACCTAAGAAACACTTATGCCAAAAAGGTAAGGTTGAATCTAATCAAGCCACTCGAGCTGCACTGTTTAATAAGATAGCTGCATATAGCTACTTAAATTTAAATTAACTAAAACTAAATAAAATAAAAAATTCAGTTCCTCATTCACACCAGTCACATTTAAAGTGTTCAATAGCCACATGTGGCTAGTGGCTACAAGACTGGGTATGGCAAGTAGAATATTTCCATCGTCACAGAAACTTGTATTGAACAGTGTTGCTCTAGAGCTAACTTCACTTAAAGGAAATATGGAGGATGGAGAAACATGTCCGTGACACCACAAAGAAGCAAACAGACGTACCGGAATGTGCGACATTCTATAGAACAGCTGACCCAGTTAGTCTGCAACAAGTCAGTGACGTTAAGGGAAAAAAAAGGGGGGGAAAGGGTCAGGGAAAATGCTCTATGTTAAACAATACTTCAGAAATCTAACAACCAAATGTAATATGTAATATGTAGCTATCATTGGGACAGGACCTTGATTCAAACAAACCAACTTAAAGAGAATATTTGAGAGTATTGGGGAAATTTGATTGTGATATGGGCATTAGATAATACCAAGCGATTAATTTTGATAGGTATGATAATGTCCTTGTGTTTATGCAAGGCAAATATCAACCTTGTTTAGATATATGTTTACATATTAAAATATGTAGTAGTAAAATGACCTGATGTCTAAGATTTTGTTTTCAAATGCTGCAACAGATGAATAAAAAGAATGGATAAGGCAAATGTAGCAAAATCTTCGTAACTGTTGATCTGGGTGATGGATATATGGTGTCTATTATAATTCTATACTTTCATGTATAAACATATTCATAATAACAATTTAAAAATATTTAACATAGGGCGCCTGGGTGGCTCAGTCGTTAAGCGTCTGCCTTCAGCTCAGGTCATGATCCCGGGGTCCTGGGATCGAGTCCCACATCGGGCTCCCTGCTCAGCAGGAAGCCTGCTTCTCCCTCTCCCACTCCCCCTGCTTGTGTTCCTGCTCTCGCTGTCTCTCTGTCAAATAAGTAAATAAAATCTTTAAAAAAAAATTTAACATGTACTTAAATAAGAAAAGCAATCATGGCCTTATGTGAACCTCCTTCCGTCCTAAAATAGCCCATCAAGAGGACTTTTAGTAGTATCAGTATGAAATGCCCTTCAGTGGAATTCTTTTTTTTTTTTTTTTAAAGATTTTATTTATTTTTTGAGAGAGAGAGAATGAGAGAGAGAGCACGAGAGGGAAGAGGGTCAGAGGGAGAAGCAGACTCCCTGCCTAGCAGGGAGCCCGATGTGGGATTCGATCCCGGGACTCCAGGATCATGACCTGAGCCGAAGGCAGTCGCTCAACCAACTGAGCCACCCAGGCGCCCCCTTCAGTGGAATTCTTATAGACACTTAAAGAGAAAACACGGTGGATCTATTTACCTCAAATGCAGATTAAGAAAATTATTGAGATACATAATACTTTCCAAGTGATTCAGAGGGAAACTCACTTAAGGAAAAAAGAAGCACCGTATTATAAGAATAGTGGCCTCTGCATGAATATCCAAAACAGGAGCTGTCAATCTGAGTATTTCTTTAAGTGCTCATACTTCTCCAGAATTTTCCCCAAGTATCAGGAAAGCATCCAAGGAAGGAATTAAATTGCAGTTGAACAGCTTTTAACAATCTTGAAGTCATTTGAGATCTGGACTCACGCATGCGATCTATTTCACAAACTTTATTAGAGTTTATGAGTCAGACTCATATGTTACTCTGGCTTCTACTTTGATTCACTGGCTTTTGTAGGCTCAATCTTACTTAATACCACACAAACCCTTCCACAAGGACTGCCCTTGGGCGTTCTGGACTACATAGTCCATATCCTTTCATTTTAAAGTAATTTCTACTCAGGAAAAGCTAATTTGCTCCTTTGAGTGTCAGCTGACTAATTCTATGGCCATAGGAGCAGTAGGCTAATTATGACCAAAGCAGTTTCCTAGGAATCATATTTATGATCCAATTTAAGCAGAAAAGAGTCTGATTTAGTTCCAAGACGTAAAAAGTATACACTGAACTCAAGCGAAGGATTTAGGCCCCAAAGTCAGCAATGGCTAAGATGATGTCATTATATCCACCCTTTATTCTCCTATGAAAATATATCTCTTTCTATTCCTTTTTCACTCTTTTTTTTTTAAGGTTGTTGTCCAAGGTTTATTGAAGCTATTACAGCACAGCAAAAATATTCAAACGGCTCCACGTGGTGTTTTGAAATTCATCCCAAGTGCAGGCTGAGTGACCTGCAGTTTGGACAGACTGCCAAAGTCCAAGAGTTTCAACATTTCCTTAGTGTCAGGATCTCCTGATCCAGGGCAGAGATCTCGGGCATGTAATTATCCCTCCTTCCTCTCTCCTCCGGCAACCCGATGGAGATTCCTCTCCCTGGGCCCCTCTGAATCCACTTCATCAGGTGTGTGACAAAGCCTGTGATCTTGCTTCGGAGCTTCTTGCTGGGGATGATGGCAATCTCCTCACACACACGCTTGTTGGTGCGGAAGTCATTGCCCAGATGTGTGTCGTACTTCTCAGTGATGACTCAGGCCACCTTCTTCACGGTTTTGGTGCGAACACGACCCATGTTGCAGGCGGAGAGTCCATCTCTTCTGTCTTTATTTAATCCCACACCTTTCCTTTTATCCTTGTTTCCATTCATTCATTCTTTATTCATCCATTCAACACGTATTTATTGAATACGTACCGTGTGCTAGGTACTATTGTAGACAATGGAGGTATAACGGTGAACAAGAAACAGTCTATGCCTCTGTGGGCTCTACATCCTGGGCGGGAGGAAGATAGTAAGTAAACATAAGATAATAACCGTATGACAAATACTAGGAAGGAATCCGGGTGTTGGGGGGGAGAGAGAAGTTTATAGGTTGGAGAGGGAATAAGACCCTAATTTAGAGCCAGTGGACAGATAGGCCTCTCTAAGAGGATGACATTTGATCTAAGATCTAAAAAGAAAAGCATGACCGGTAGCAGGGCTTTTAAAGTACTAGAGAAAAGATAGGCCAGTGAAGGGAGCAACAAAATGTAAAGAGCCAGGAGTCAGGGAGCGAACTAAGATGTTTGAGAAACGGAAGGAGGCCAGTGAGCATACGAAGAGAGACTTGGGCAGGGGACAGAGGAGGTTAAGAGATGACACTGAAGAGTTGGCTGGCATTAGATAGCATCGGAACTCAAAGTTAGAGCAGACAATGTGATTGCTTACCTAATAGCCATAAGCTCTTCTTCCTTGCTAATGGAGCTCCAGTTTTGCTTGGGTGGCAATGCGTCTCACTTCAGGGAGTGAATCATAATTTATTTAAGCCAATTCTGAACAATGAGATCTAAGGGGAAGTCACTGGAAGCTTCTGAGAAACATTTTTATTTCTGATAGTAGAGCCCCAAGTAAATAAAGCTTTTTGCCTCTTCTCTTCCTGTTTGGCTGTTGTCCTGTTTTGATGCAATGTACAGAGCTATGGCAGCCGTCCTGCAGCCATAAGCCTGAAGATGAGAGTCAACAGACTTAGGATGGTGGAAAGGATAGAAAGAACTTGAGTCCTTGAGGACATCAACAAACTGCTAAACCAATCCTGAGAACACTGATCTTCACCCTTTTTGCTAAACAGAAAATAATTTTCCTTATGGTTTAAGTTTCTATTAGCTGGGGTTTCTGTTATTTGTGCTGGAAGCATTTAATGGATACAGCAGGGGTGTGGCATGATCTGACTTATATACATATATTTTTAAGTCTCTTTGGTAACTGTGAAGAGATTTGTAATGAGCAAAAATGGAACAGAGACATTGAAGACTACTGTAGTAGACCCGAGGAAGGATCATGGTGTCTGGGCTAGTGAGGAAGCATTACAACTGGAGAGAAGTAGATAGATTCAAGATGTATTTGAGAGTAAAAATAACAAAATTTGCGGGTGCCTGTGTGGCTCAAATGGTTGAGCGTCTGCCTTCGGCTCAGGTCATGATTACAGCGTCCTGGAATCGAGCCCCGCATCAGGCTCCCTGATCCTTGGGGAGCCTGCTTCTTCCTCTCCCTCTGCCTGCCACTCCCCTACTTGTGCTCTCTTGTTCTGTCAGATGAATAGATAAAACCTTTAAAACAACAACAACAAAATTTACTTTGGTTCAGACATGGGAGAGGAAGGAGGTTGATAAATTAAGGCTGGTCTCTTTTGGGATTGGTGGTGGTGCCATTTATTGATATGGAGAAAATAGGAAGAAGTTTGGGGAAGGATTGGGATCAGGAGGGTTTTTTTGGAAATGTTAAATTTAAAATATGCATTCAAAGAGAGACATCGGGGGTGCACCACATTGGGTGTAGAGCCTACTTTAAAAAAAAGAGAGATGTCAAGTCAGCAGGTAGACAAATGAGTCTGAAGCACATTAGGTCAGGGCTTGGATTTCAATTAGGAAGGTGTCAATACACAGATGTTATTTAAAGCCACAAGAACAGATAAGGTCCTCCCCACTGGCCAAAATTTGAGGAATTTTAAAATTAGAGGTCCGTTAGCAGGGGAGGAGCCTGCAAAAGAGCCTGAGGGGAAGTAGTGAGACAGGTAGGAGGAAAACCAATAAAACAACAATACTTAACATTTATATAGAGCTTACTTCAAGCTAGGCACTGCTCAAAGCACTTTGTGCCTTCATGGAAACAGAGAAAAAAGTGTTTTCCTTTCTTCCTTTCTGTTTTAACTCCTGTGGCTTTCCCTAGCCCCACAGTGCTTCTGAACTGTAATTTGTAATTAATTATTAAGGTATAACATATTCATTGAAAAATATTCAAACCGTATAATACAGGAAAACTAAAAACGGAAAGCAAAGAAACTCAGAAACTTTCCTCCCAGCCTGATCTACCACCATTAAGAATTCTTGCTCTCTCTCAGGAATTTTCTGTACACACGCACGTATTTTTACACAGATTGGATCATTCGCTCTTGATAGGTAGATAGCTATAGATACGTACACACACAAATATATCTAATTCCGCAAATTTTCTTTAAACTCAACACATTCTGGAGATTTTCTATATCAGCACATACTTATCTACTCTTTTTAAAGACTGATATCGTATTGTATTAATATACCATAATTTATTTAAGTTCCTCTACTAATGGGCAATTAGTTTCCTGGTTTTTCCTGCAAACTGCTGCAATAAACATCTTTGTAGATAAGTCACTGGATATTGGTACAAAAATAACCGATGGATAATTTCCTGGTAGTGAAATTGCTGAATCAAAGCCCTTAAGCCACCGATATTGTCAAATCACCCCTCCAGAAAGTTTACACAAAGCACAGTCTCTTTAACAGCATTTCCTCACACCTTGTCAACACTCGGTATTGACAAACCTCAAAGTGTGTCAGGCTATGAGACTGAAAAAATGGCGTCTCGTTTTTATTCGGGTCTCTGTAACCATGAGCAGGGCAGCAGCGTGGTACTGTTGAACATACACGTTTTGAAGTTAGACCCCCGGGCTCCATCACACGTCTTCTCCTTAAACGTGTGACCTTGCGCACGTTGGGTGTGTTTCTTCGCCTCAACAAAGGGCACAACGAGAGCGCAGGCCTTCAGGACTGCAGGAGATGGCGTGGGACACGGGCTACCTCGGCTTGGTCCGCGATCACCCGCCCTCGTCTGCATTTCCGAGCCCCGCTTGCTTGGGTCCTTCATCCTCGGCGCCCGCCTCCCAGCGAACTCACGCAAAACTCCTGGAGCTTGGAACTCGAAATGAGAGAAAACTTTGCCCTGCTTTTCAAAATTCTGCCCTATTTTCCGCCCACCTCGGCCTCAGAAACCCTAATTTACAGATGGACGTAAAGAAAGGAGTCGCAGTTTGTAAACAACTTGCAAAGTAGACACCGCATCTCTCGACGTCCGAGGCCAAGGCGCACAGCGTAGGGAACACTAGGCAACAACAACTTGACACTACGTGACCCGCAGTGCCCTGAGGGGTAAATTGGCAGTACTCAAAGGCTTCAGGGAACGGCATTTCAAACGCGAGCCCCAGACCCACCCCCTTCCCGCAGGCCCCGGGACCACCCTCCCGGCCCCGCCCCCAAACAGGAAGTGACGTCGCCAAGCGAGTCCGTCTTCTTCCGCCGTCTGCGGCCCAGGCTAGCGCGGGGTGCGCGTCGGCGTCGCGGCCGGCGGAGGGATTCTGGGTAACGGCCCCGGCCGGCTGGGGCGGCTGGCTCCGCGCAGCAGGTTCAACTCACGCCAAGTCCGTTGGCAGTGGAGGTTCTAGGGCTGGGGGCCGCGGGACATGGAGCAGCCGTGGCCACCGCCAGGACCTTGGAGCCTCCCTCGGGCCGAGGGTGAGGCTGAGGAAGAGAGTGACTTGGACGTGTCCCCCAGTTCTCCCCGCTGCCCGCAGCTGCCGGGCGGCGGCGCGCAGGTGAGAGGGGTCCCGCGTTTGGCGAGGGGGATGGGGAGGTGCCGTCGCCAGGCCCCCAGAGTCCCCTGTCTCTGCGACCCTCCTTGTGCCCTGCTCTGCGCCCCCATTTCACTCCCGGGGGTCCGGAGCTTGATGCTCATCCCACGGCTATTGTAGCATCTTCTGAGGGCTTCTAAGAGGGGCTGGTCATATATTCCCAACCTCCACCTCCACGTACACCTTTACACCTTGGCTAATAATTCCTTCCCATCCTTGGAAGACGTTCCCCCCCCCCTCCCCGCTTCTGACAGCACCCAGATTTGGGGCGGCTAACGTTATAACGTTGACCCTTTGTCCCCTTGTGCGTGTCTTTATCCGAGCGCGTTATTCTGCTGAAGGCTCTGATACTTGTGCACGGTTAATAGTTAGGAACAGTGACTGGTTGGTTGTATTTCGGTAATTTACTGAGCTCCTGACTTCATGCAGATTTAGGATCCAATTTCACTGACTTCTGACATCTGAATAAATTCTGTAAACCTCGCTTTTGATGCTGGTGTAAATCTGTCTCCTTAACGTGACCATTTTTCCCGTCCGGTTATGTTTTGCTTCATATCATTTTCCAGTGACAACATACAGGCACACGTTTGCCTTTTCCTTCAGACTTCCTCAGATTCTTGGTGCTACTTGTGGTTTTCAGTCCAGCCTTCTTTCATCTGAAACTTATCCAAAGGACACACTATTTGGGATTTTTCTGGGTCCTGTCTTAGGGAGTGCTTACATACTCTTATCACCTTGTCCTGGTTTTTCTCCTAATCTGAGTGTGTTTGGAAGTATATTTCAGGAACACAGACTAAACACTAACATGTTAAGTGAAAAGGGTTATAGGTGTCTCTCTGCCTTCTTGGCTTCTTGCAAAACGGGGTACCTAAGAGCTTAACTGAATTCACAGTTTTTCTCTAGGCTCATCTTGCTAGCAGTTAGTGAAGATGAGTTATTTAAATCATTTGCCAATTAAGTGTAAGGCCATCGGTCCTATGCCCATCTCATTGGGTTAGTTGGCTTCACGGAGAAAAATGCTGTTTCATAACCGTAGACTGTACTTCGGCCAGTCAGTCTGTGGGAAAGTGCAAGACATTTTTTAGGAGGCCAGAAAGAGTTGATAGGTCAGTAGTCACCCCCTAATTATGGATCGCTCGTATCATCTTTATATACAAAATGTGTTATATGAGCATATAATGAATGTGTTATGGAGGGAAAAAATATGAACAGCAGCTGTGCTTGTCAGTTTTGAAGGCATATGAAGAGAATAAGAGGTCTCCAGAATTTCCATGCATTGTGGTTCAATCACAAAAGTAACCTAAGAGAAACACTAAACTTAGAAAATATCTAAGCTGGAAAATACCCAGCTGGCTAAGTCAGAGGAGCATGCCACTCTTGATCTCCGCGTCCTGGATTCGAGCCCCATGTTGGGTGTAGAGATTACTAAAATAAACAAACAAACAAACTTTTAAAGATCTGTATATTTTTTACTTGTGCACTTGGAATTGTAAGCTTATTTAGCTGAAAGTGATTTTATGAGCAAATAGGCTTATCTTCTTCATTAAAAATGATTTCTCTCAGATCCTATAGCTAGTTAGTGGCAGAATTAAAACTAGAACCCACTTCTGACTCCTAGTACAGTGTTTTTTCCTACCTGCTGCACTTCCCATCCTGTGATGTAATGTAAAACCATCTGGCTGACACTACCTTTGGTGTTAAAATTTGCAAAGTTGATTACTAATCCTAAGTTCATGTGTTTATAACCCACTTACTTGTCTTGCTGACTTTAGGACTTAAGTTTTTGGATTGGAATATTTGGAAAGAATAAAATATTTAAAATGATAAAACATTTTATAATTTTTTTCAAAAACAGTTCTGGTTTAATTTTACCAGACATGGGGAATCTAGACAGATTAGTGTCATATGTGATGTATAGTTCTGATACCCAGTTAAAGTAAAAGGCAACTCAGAATTTAGAGATCATGTTCAAGCATTTTTAATGTAAAGTTGCACTAATAAACCTAATGCCAGCAGTTCCTTTTAGAATTCATGTTCATTAAAATATTATTATGTTTAGATGCGCCTGGGTGGCTCAGTTGTTAAGCATCTGCCTTTGGCTCAGGTTGTGATCCCAGGGTCCTGGGATCGAGCCCCGCATCGGGCTCCCTGCTCGGCGGGAAGCCTGCTTCTCTCTCTCCCACTCCCCCTGCTTGTGTTCCTTCTCTCGCTGTGTCTCTCTCTGTCAAATAAATAAGTAAAATCTTTTTAAAAAAATAAAATATTATGTTTAATGTTTCTCTGAAACCTCAGTGTGTTCATAGGTAAAATGTGATCTTTTTTTTTTCCTTAATCGTCTCAGTATATGTTGGATAGTTTGCTCAAATGGCCAGATGTTTGTCTGTGTAGTCTGCGGAGAAGAATTTAACATGAATCATTTTTAGAATTTAGAAATAAGATTTCTGTGTTTGATTTGAGACATGAATATTTGTTCCCACATAATTTTGAAAATGCAAGGTATTTTCATTTGTCCGTATTGCCTTTCTTAGTATAGCTTTGTCTTACAGTAAACAAATTTTAT